CTATAGTCTGTCCCAGGAGAGAACGGTCCGCTCTCCGACCAAATCGAAGCGCTACTGCGCATCCCCACGCCGCAACACTATCCATTTATTCCCTCCCGGATCTATCGACAGGTTTTGTACACTGCGTTTCAAATAATGCACTGTTGTCTGTCGATAGTCCACTGTTTATCGCCAATATGACAAAAATGATAAATTGTAATTTTAACGAATAAAAAATGAAATGTTTTAATATAATTATTTATTATTTATTAAATATATATCTCTGTATTATACCTACTTTGTTATACCTACTGTATCATACCTACAGTGTTCAATAAGATATTAAATAAATAAATATGTATACAAAAAAAACAAAGTCTGGATTATTATAGAAGGCGCTTGTATATACGATAGTTTACGATTTGAAAAATTATCAAGAGGTTATAAAACAGCAAAGGTAAATAAACGTGCGATGCGCGATGTCTGATAATATTAACAATTGAATTTCTACAAAATCTCCTAGCGGTGTATAGTCATAAACCGACGACGGAAAAAATGACAATCGGCTATGTGGAGGGGGGAAACATGCGCAGAAGCGGACCTTTCTCTCCTGGGACAGACTATACAGTCAATAGGATATGTCGTTTTTCCTTTACTAGTTGCTTATCCCATTCTTTTAACGAGTCGGAAATTATGTCTCCGGTCATCCATGCTTTTTTATTGCTTTTGTAGTCGACTCTCAAGTTTTTGACATTTTTAAAACATCTTGGAGTCTTAGATTTTCCAATTACTAACAACTTTTTTTTGTAAGAACCAGTCATATTAGAGGCTACAAGAATCGTGAGTCGCTCTTTAGATAAATTACCACACTGCATGTTTCCTCTTTAAAACGTAATGTTTGAGACGGTGTTAGATGATAAAATAATCCAATTTTATCAGCGTTATAAATGTGACAATCTGAATAATTTTTGCGCAAATTAGGCCAAACGTGTTCCAGCCAGTTTTCCGAAACACCAACAGGAACGCTTGACGATTCTCCACTTATTTTTCTGAAAACGATATTGTGTCTTTGACGAAAACGGGTAATCCAAGAAGAAGAACATTGAAAATCTTATCTATCTGAAAATATTATTAATCGCTATGGGTGATTATAAAAACCAATTTTCGTTTTAAAATAACATCGCTATATTCGGATTATCGTTCTATACGAATAAAAGTATTATACATAACATATAAAACAAACTAAATACATTGATTGGAATCGTTTTACCCGGAATATCGTTATATACGGCATCTTTATACGCGAATTTGACTGTATTTTTAAACAGTAAATAGCTCTACTCATCCAGCGAGCTTGATGCATTGCTTCAGGTGGACGTATTTTTAATTTGTTGTCTAAATTATCATACAAAAAAATTATAGATAGCTCAAGTAATTCTTTATAGTCGTCTCTGTAACATTTATTTTGCAACATTGCTCGACAAAATTGGAGAATATCATTATCAAATATCAAATAAATTGTTGAGTTTATTAATGAATTCTGTTTCTTTTAATTTAAATGAATCACCTACTATTTGTGAACTTTTTTGTAGATCACGCCATTCTTCGTACAAACTCAAAAGTTTATTAATACAATGTTGAACTGCTTGGACAGGAATTCGAGCTTTTTCCCAAAAAATATTGCACTCACGAACGGCTAACGACGCACTTTCTCTCGTATTAAGTTTTACTGTTCTCACATTATAAAAAAATACTGAAAGCACTTGTCCAATCGACGGGAGTTTTGAGCCTAGAATTTGGGTAGATGGTGACCCAATCAAAAATAATTTTCCATCAGTTCGTAATTTTCTAGACATATTTGCAAAATAATTACCAAAAAAATGTAACAATAAACGACGTACTGAACTAATCACGCACCGTAAGAGCTCTTGTTAACGTCCGTTTTTTACCGGATACCGGTCCGGATAAAATGGATGGTTTTGTTGACGAAACGTTAAAATAACGGATATACTTCTGTTGCCTGTAATATTTAATCGATTATCTGTAATTAAATTTAGTCAGTTCCAAACAAGAAGCGGTTGAGTATAGTCTAGTCAAATGTTTACTAGAAAGAAAAAAGTTATAATAGCGTACGATTTGTACAAAAAAATGCAGCAGAAAGAAAAAATAAAGAAAAAATGTGGGTGCATCCTATTTTATTGGAAAGAAAAAGTTATGGAATTTTCTATAC